CCACTACAATGGGCACGGTGTCCCCAGGCCAACAGTGAACGGGGAGATCTGGGTCTTCAACAAGGTGCGTCTGTGCTGAGCAGCTGAATCTTTTTCACTGCTGCGTAAATTGTTGCAGTGTTCTGTTAGAGAACAACTGGATTTCCAGGGTTTAAAATGTGTTCACAGGTATTTGTTTGACCACTCTTTGCTTTCTGTGTGTTCCTGAAGTTCTGTCAGACCAAACAGGGTGTCCCTCGCCTCGCAGCGGGGCGGGAGGGTCTTCCCTCAGAGGCACTAAAGCTCACTGCAAAACCCCGAGAAGCCAGCTGCTTCCCCTGGCTTCGTCTGCTTTTCAGGGGAGCAGCCCAGCTCTGTCAGGTCTGGAGCAAACAGCAAGGCTCCCCCATGGACTTGGCTTTGCTGCCTTATGTCACTGACTGATGATGGCGTTCTCACCAAAAGGTTTATGCTTAAGATGTCTACTGACTCTGAACAGCCGTTGTTCAAACTACCTAGAGGTACTGCGAGAGGACGGTGAACGTACGGCCAGCTCTGCTGCCAGAGCACAGAGCACGGCGGAGCCTCTGGGTACGATATAATGGGTATCTTCTACTCTTCTAAAGCCTCGTTACTCCTACTTAGCCATGGTTTGTAGCCATGGTTTGTACAGCTACGTAGATCGCATGCAACACCCTTTGAGAGGTTCCAAGCATGGCCTAAATGTGCTTTGCTTTCCCTTTAGTTAAGCTATTTACTATCTATTAAGGGTCACTGATTTAGCATGGAGTCTTAGGAAATTGAGAGACTGTTTATAGCTGGAACGTACGTTCAGCTGACACAGGACTTGCATTCCTTGTTATAGTTATGCTCCTATTTTATTTTGAGGGCTTCTTTTCTCGTACTTCACATGCATTATTTTTATATTTGAATGAGCATTCACTGGTAATTTGAAAGAGCAGGGTAGAAGGGAAGGGGAGAAAGTGTGGGAGGGCATCACTTTATTCTGGGGCATCTATACTGGAGACTTGATTAGTATTCATACCAGTAAACAACTGGTCTGAATACTAATTAATTTTGAAGCTGAATTTGCTGTTTAAGAACAAATAGGAGTGACCTCTTCTTACAGCCAGTGGGTAATAAATAAACCAGCAAGAACGCTGGGCAGAATGCGTTACACATGGAAGGGGAGGAAATTACTGCTCAGTGAAGTTCGTGTTCTGCCAAATGCTTTATGAGGAGCTTACTGGGCATTTGCTGGTTTGCCTGCAGTGTCAGCTGGGGTAGTGTGGTGTGGATGCCACTGGTGATGGGGAGCTGAGGTCTCTCTGATTTACCTTATGGCTGTGAAAAAAAAATGTGATTGTCATAGAGGTTGATGGGGAAAGTTGAAACTCGGTAATTTTTGCAGTGTGTTACCAAATATTTGCTTTTTGGGAAGGAAAGAGTCAGGAGTAGAACTTTTCTGTTAAGCAAGGGATTACATTTAAGGAAATGCTGGGGGGAGGGTGGGAATCAGCAGTGTTTAGAAATCAGTCCTAAGGAATTCAGTCTCAGATTTAAGCAGAGGGCCTAATGAGGCTCAGCATTATAGCCGTCTCGAATTGATATAGTAGAGGTGCTGAAATTTGACTGTGCTGACATTTTAAAATTAGATTTAAAATGCTCATGCATGCACTTGAAGTCTCAGTTAGAAGAGCACGAAGGCAGAGCTGAAAGGGACCTTGAGATCATCCAACCGAGGGGCCAGAAGGAATGAAACAGCCTTGCTGGTGGATGGGGCGTGTGACCTCCGCTGGTCGAAGGAAATAAAATGTGTTGGATTTATGCTGACCTCCCCTGGGGCCAGGTTGAGCATCTTTCTCCTGTTCCCAGAACCTGAAGCTTTGGGACGTGTGGTTCTGGTGGCTCATCAGCCTGTTAGCAAGGCTTTGGGGCAGGTGCTGCGGAGAGTAGAGGGCGGTGGGGCAAACAGGAGGTGCAACATCAGCACCGTTCAGGGGTGGGAGACAACACGGAATGTCAAGAATCTGTCCAGATGTTTCGCTCTGCTTTTGTTCTCCGTCTGTAGATGCTCATTTTTCCTTTCCTTTTTTTTTCTCTCCCATAAAACTGGTGTGTGGCCGTTACGGGGCTGGTGACGTGGGTGATGACAGAGAGGGCTTCTCCCACTGCCTTCTGTGGGCTCCTGCAGCCCAGCCTGAATGCAGCAGAAGCTGGTGGAGCTGGGCGGGTTGACCACCTCCTGCCTCACCGCTGCCAGCGCCTGCCGGGACGCGCAGACTGGCGGACCCAGTGCCTCTTCTGCAAAAGCAGCTCTGCAGCGCTGCTGGTGGCAACCATCAGAGAGCCTGGAAGCTTAGAGGACCTCAGTAGCTGTTCAATATTTTCTTTTTCACCTTTATCTAGTGTCACATTTAAATGTCCCAACAAGTGCCAGCAGGCTATCAGAGACAGCAAATAGATGTAGTGGTGTAGGAGCACTTTGTAATGATGCTGGAGAAAGTTCACCTAGTATGAGGTCTTCATTAATATCTTGTCCTTAATTTCTCAAGAGTTGGTATTTTAAAATTAATTCAGACCTCTGCCCTTGCACAGTTGGTGCTTTGGCTGAACTGATGTTTTAAAATGGCAATGTAAGGAGAATGCTTCTCTCGTGTGTTTTGTTTTCTGCTCTTCTGAAAACCCGTCTGCTTCGGTAACTGCTTGCATTGGCTGACACAGGGCCTGGTGGGGGGGCTGACAGGCTCTGAAGGTGGCCCAGAACGCCCAGGCAGGTAGCCCTGCACCAGCTCTCTGGTGGTGGGGCTGGGGTGGGGTTGGGGTGCTGCGTTAGCAGCTCGGAGGGGGACCCCGGCATTCGCAGCTGATCCCTGTGCGCTGCACGAAGCCTTCCTGGCACGGCAGGAGTGGATCCAGGAGAGATTAAGCATGGTATGTTCGGATATGTAGATTAAAAAAGATAAAACCATCAGGAAGTATCGTGTGGCCTGGTTCACTTCCGCTGCACAGCTCGGTCACGCTGCTCAGTTAAGCGGCGTTCAGGTGCTGCGGAAGGGCGTGCGGGAGAGGAGGCGCTGTGTACGATTTGGAGAGCTAGTAGCTCAACTAACTTGGTCTTTAAAACCCAAACGTGCCTCCTCTCCTACAGTTTTTCCTTGAGTTTAATGTTTTATAGATTTTGACAAGTTGTGCTGGCTGTAGTATAAATACCTCTGCGGTACCTTCACCTTCCCTTTTGCTATTCCATCTGGCCTGGCAGGTGAAGAGGACAGCAGTAAATAAATAATCTGATACTCACCTGCATTCGTTGTACTGGAATGGAAACCTGCCCGTCTATATGCGCTTTGCGGAAGGGCAGGCAGTGCCGAGCGCCTCTGCGCCCAGGAAGGGCGGGTACGGTCCCCGTAAACCAGTACATTTGGCATTGCCTGGCCGTTTGCCACATTTGGAAGAGGCAATAACACGCTTTTCATGTATTTATTGTGAGTGCTCTTGTGTTAACACGGAGCAGTGTTCTCTTTCTGGTTTTGCTTGCTACTGTTTTCTCAGAAAATCCCAACATGGTTTCAAAAAGGTAAAAACCAAAAGCTCCCGGCTTCAAGCAGGTTTGTGCTGAAGCTCTGAGGAACTCTGTGAAATCTGAGGAATGTTGGTTCTGAAGAGGTTTTGAGTTGTTTGGTAGAGATCGGTGATGCAGTTGGTTCAAAACCAGTTCCTAGCTGAGCTGTTCCTTGGGCCGATCCTTTAACCAGTCACAGAGGGCTGGATGGTGGGGCTCGTGTTCACGGAGCAAAGCCAAGGCCGGTGCTGAGAACAAACCACGCAGACGTGTTCTCTCGTCCTCGCAGCCCCAGCGCGGCAGAGTCAAGATGATCAAGCATCAAACGATCACCCTGAGCAGCCCTGCTAGAGAACTATTATTTAACACTCCTTTTTTCTTCAGACGATCTCATTTACATATCATTAGCAAATTCAGTAAGTTATATCTGATCCCCACAGGAAAATCGGACCATAAAATTCTTCTGTTTTGAAATATCACAATATTAATCAGAGCTATAATCCAGCCTTAACTCTAGCAGCGTGCATTATAAAGTTCAAACAATGCCTGCCCATAAAATCTCAGCGATTATGTGTCGGAGCGGGTTGTTCGTATGGAACTGCCTGTGGCTGGAATGTGCTTAAACTGGGAGGTGTCCCTAGGAAAGGTCTACGCCAAGGGGGAGTTCTTCGTGTATCCTTCTATCCTGCAACAATTTGCAAAGCTCCTAACTCCCAAAAACTTTGGCTTTTATAAACAATTTTTCTTATTAATTTTAATGAAATAACCAAACCTGTTATATATGGGCAAAACTGGATTTTGAAGTGACTTACTATTTCCTACCTTATCTAGCATATGCTTTATGATCACTTCTGTCTTTATAGGTGCTGATATGTGTCCTTGAAAATTTGATTTTTGTAAAAGTTTACTGGTTTTATTACAGCTATTTTAAGTCTCTTGAATTTAAATGAGAGTTATGATCCCATCCATCATTCTGCTGATGTTAATAGGAACAGCGCAGCCTTTGCCGTAGATTTTTGGGCAGAGTTCAAGGCTGTACGGACATGAGCAGGTTGCCCTCTGGCTGCCGATGGGGAGGATTTTGCAGTCAGCCACTGTATATTTGGTGGGGGGTCTTCAGGCTCAAATGGCAGAAATCTGCTTGGGTTGATATTTTCAGTTCTGCCGCTTAGTTTAGGGTGTGGCCCTTCATAGCTGGCTTTAAATGTCTGATTTTTCATCCTCCTTTTATTTTAAGCAGCTCTTGCCTCCAGTTATTTTGGGGGGGTTAAGGTGGAAGAGAAGGACCAAACCACTGCACAAACGAAGTTGTTGGTGCTTCGCTTTGTTGCAGGCAGGCTTTGTTGGGTTTGGTTTTATTGGAGAGTTCTGCAAGTTGCACGGAAGTTAAAGGCCGTCATCAAATTATGAAGCATCTCATTAAACTGGGATGGGGTAGCTGCTGATGGGTACATAGTCTTAATTATCAATCTTGAGTTATTGATGGAGTTTTCAGTTTAAGACGTTTGCTGTTAAGCTAGAGGCAACTGGTTTGCATCCTTTATCAGTGCTGCAGAAATTTGGGATAAAATTTGACTACTCCACGCTGGGTGGGGTTGTCAGCACGGATCAGAGCACTCTTTTGAGTTTTAGAACTTTAGAGTAGAGTTCAGTGTTTCAGACAGCACCACGATAAAACCTGCTCGTCATTTGTGCTGGAGTTGGCCTCATAGCCCTCACGATTAGCAGGTGTTGGTTGGTATTTGTGTTGGTGAATATGCTCAATGTTCAATCTAGGTTTTATTTCGTGATTTCAGAATTGGAATTTTTCTGTTTATTTTACTGTGTCACCAATGAAAGTTCTGTTGCTTCTCTGCCTCTTTGTAACTTGAGTGGTTTTTCTTTCTTCTTACAGAACTATACTCAGTATATTCCTCTGTCCATATACGACCTGCAGACCTGGATGGGCAGTCCCTCCATTTTCGTCTATGATTGCTCCAACGCTGGCCTTATTGTCAAGTCATTCAAGCAATTTGCACTACAGAGGGAGCAAGAGCTGGAGGTGAGATCCCAGTCTGTGGCAAAGCTTTCAGTTGTGTTTGTGCCGCAGGGTTAAGTTTAAACTTGCTTAAACTGAAAAATGTGTTTAAAACAATGTTGGAAGGCAAATTAATTTGCAAGTAATTTTGCCACTCCCATCTTTCTGGTTCAGTTTGCTATCCTATTAAACTTGGAATAATTTTTAATACAAGCACTAATTAAATGGTAATGTTAACAGAATTGTTTGTGCCCTAATGGTCTTTTCTGCTGAGATAAATGCTGAGGTGAACTAGACGTATTTATTCTAATTGCAGAAGTCTGGTATCCGGTATTTGGAAGTAGTTAAGAGTTTTATGCTGTTGAACTGAATCTGAAAATGTGAAAGAAAATAAAAAACCCCATATAGACAGAGGGTTTATCGCTGGTGGTTTCAGTTTCACAGAAAGTCGCATGTGTTTCTAAGGAAAAGCTGACTTTCATTGCAAATGTAATTACTAATAAATTGACTGAAGTAAATCTGAAATGCGAAGTGGAAGGTAAGACGTCAGGACTCTTTGTGCAGCAGCTTGGGATGGCAAGGCTCCCCGTTGCCAGGAGGTCCTGCTGGCTTTAGCTTACGTAGAAAGCACGTTTTTAAAGGTTAGCTTACACCCTCACAGTTCTAAGACAACCAACCAAAACCCAACTTCAAGGAAGGAATATTAATTAATCAGGCAACTGACTGTCACAAAGACAACCTGCAAGCAGATGCTAACGGTATCCTTGGCTCTGATTCTTTTCACTCTAAATTCCGTTCTTTTGGAAGTGCTTTGGTGGTGACTCTTCTGGCAGGTGGAATTTCCATTCTACCAACAGAAAGCAGTCTAACAGCTTGAGATACGTAGATCGTTGCATTATTCCTTCACTTCAACCAGTGATAATGCCGTGCTTTATAAAGATGAGAAACTTCCCAAAGCCTATGGCTTGGGAAGAACATGAAACTGCAGGACACGGATCAATGGTATTGGTAATCAATGCCTTTTGAAGGTTACAGTCTTTTTAAGTCAAGGAAAATGTCTGGCAGTCTGATCTGCTCTCCTTTTTCAAGTTTTCCTATCAGCCTACGACATCCCTCGCAGTATTTTTCGGAGCCTTTCTCTTTTCCTCGTACCATGCACCCTTCTGGATTTTTGTTTTGTTTTCTCATCCTGTTCCTAAGCAGGTTAAAAACGAGCCCAACTTTACCTTCCCTTTTCCTGCTTTCCTGAGGAATTTCTTTTTTTCCTTGGCTCTCCCTGAGCTCCAGGATGACTTTGAGGCTGGTTTGGAAGGAAGGCAGCCGCAGGTGTCTCTGTGGGTTTCTGCTGTGTGACAGACAAATGGTTCAGG